CATCTGTCTTCTCTTCCATACTCCTTCTTAAAAGCTCTAGCTTCCTTGCCATGCCCCCTTTTCCCAACTCCATATCTTTAACTTAAGGAAGCTGCTGGGCTCCATGTGGCCTCTTTTCCTGCACTATGGCCTGTAAAATATGTTGCAGGTTGCAAGTGAGATAATCTTCTCTGTCTTTCAGCGACTACTGTCTCAAGGCCAGATGGATTCTCAGTGCCTCCGAAACCATTGGTGCATGTGGTTTTAAATTAGTCCCTGTTGCCCTATCTCATCCAGAAAAAAATTGCTGCTTTTATCTTTCCAGAGGACTGTTTTGGTTGTATATACCATAATTATATAAATATGCTTACTTTTTGTGTGGTGTGTGCTGGTACTAGGGCTTGAACTTAGGAACTTGCATGCACTTTTGGCTTTCTTGTTTGGCTGACAGTCTACCACCTTAGTCATGCTTTCAGTACAGCTTTTTTTTCTTGGTTATTTTGAAGATGGGTTCTCATGGATTTTTCTACTTGGACTGGCTTTGGAATGTGATCCTCTGAATCTCTGATTTGTGAGTGTTACAGGTTTGAGGCACTGACACCTGGCTATGTTTGCCATTTTAAAAAAAAACAAGAACAAGGACTTGAAGTCCATATGTTTTATTTGTTTGGTTTGATTTGATTTGATTGGTTAGTTGTTTTGGTTAGTGGCACTGCAGTTTCAATTCAAGGCCTTTTGCTTGCCACACAGTGGCTTTACCCTAACCGTTTTTTCTTTTTTTTCCTTTTATTTATTTTTATTGAAAAGGGGATGAGCTGAGTTACAGTTACATAAGTAAGGCAATAAGTATGTTTTCAATCATTGTTATCCCATCCCTCATTATCACCCTATCCCCCTCCCCCTCAAGTTGTAATGTTTGTATCCAACATAGTATCAGGTGAGTATCAATATTGCTTTGGTTCATTCATTGTCCTGCTCTTTCTGTGATTCCCTTTCCCTTCCACATATTGCATTATCTTTTTTTTTTTTTTTTGGTCCAGTTGTGGGGCCTGAACTCTGGGCCTGGGCGCTGTCCCTCAGCTCTTCAGCTCAAGGCTAGAGCTCTACCATTTGAGCTACAGCGCCACTTCCGGCTTTTTTCTTTTTGCTTATTTGGTGCTGAGGAATCAAACCCAGGGCCTCATGCATGCAAGGCAAGCGCTCTACCCCTGAGCCACCTTCCCAGCCCTATTGCATTATCTTATCAAAACACGAGGTTAAAAAAAAAAAACTAAGAGAAAGGAAGAAAAAAAAATAGAACAATTTAAAAAAAGAACATAGTAGCTAGCAAAATATATTGAAATCCCTCAGGCTTGGAGAAGATTTTCACCACCCAAACAATAGACAAGGGTCTCATATCTAAAATATATCTACCGCTCAAGAAATTAAATTCTTCAAAAACAAATCCCCAAAGAAACAACCACCCCATTAAAAAAATGGGCTAAAGATCTTATGAGAGACTTCTCTGAAGAGGAAATATGAATGGCCAAGAGACACATGAAGAATTGCTCAACATCTCTGGCTATAAAAGAAATGCAAATCAAAACATCATTGAGATTCTTCCTTACACCAGTTAGAATGACCATAATCAAGAAATCTAACAACAACAGATGCTGGTGGGAATGTGGCCAAAGGGGAAAACTGCTACACTGTTGGTGGTAATGCAAACTTGTTCAACCACTCTGGAAAGCAGTGTGAAGTTTCCTCAAAAGACTGAGCATAGAGCTCCCCTATGACCCAACAATCTCACTTCTGGGAATTACCCAAATGATCACAAACAAGGCCACAATAAAGCTACCAGCATGATGATGTTTATATTCCAGCATTATTTACCATAGCTAAGATATGGAACCAACCCAAATGCCCCTCAGTAAATGAATGGATCCAGAAAATGTCGTACATATGCACAATGGAATTCTATGTTTCCATCAGAAAGAATAACATTGCTCCATTCCTAAGGAAATGGAAAGACTTGGGAAAAAAGATATTAAGTAAGCCCAACCCGAGGAAAAGTAGGATTAGACACTTTTTTTTTAAATGACAAATCAGTTGGGTGCTTATGGCTCACACCTGTTAATCCTAGCTACTCAGGAGGCTGACATCTGAGGATCGCAGTTTGAAGCCAGCCGGGAAGGAAAGTCCGTGAGACTCTTATCTCCAATTAACCACCAGAAAAAGCTGGAAGTAGCACTGTGGCTGAAATGGTAGTATGCTAGCCTTTTTTTTTTTTTTTTTTTTTTTAATTTAATTTAATTTTATTTGTGAACATACTGTACAGAGGAGTTACAGTTACATGGGCAGGATAATGCGTACATTTCTTACCAAGCATTGCAGCCTCCTCCTTTGTTTACCCTTCACCTCCCTTCCCAGCCTCCCAGTATGCTAGCCTTGAACCAAAGAAGGTCAGGGACAGTGCCCAGGCCCTGAGTTCAAGCCCCAAGACTGGCAGAAAAAAGGAGAGAAAGAGGGGGAGAGGGAGAGAGAGAGAGAGAGAGATCTGCTTATCATGGAAGAAATGGGAGTTACACATCAACTGGAAGGACTTCCTGAGAAAGGTCTATTTGCTTAGAATTCCGGGAAATAGAGAAAACAAGCTATATGGACATTTGGGGAATGTGCTCCAGGTCTAAGAAATAGTGCAATCTGGTGGCTCCTGCTTGTAATCTTAGCTACTGAGGCAGTTGAGGTGTGAAGATCACCTTTTGATGCCTGCCCAAGTAAGAAAGTTTGTGATTCTCTTATCTCCAGTTAACTAACCAAAAGCTAGCAGTAGAGATATGGCTAAAGTACCAGCCTGAGTGAAAAAGCTAAGAGACAGTACACATGCCCTAAGTTCAAGCCCCAGTACCAGCACGTAGTATCTGTGTACACAAAAAAGAAGGAAGAAAGGGAGGGAGGGAGGGAGGGAGGAAGGAAGGAAGGAAGGAAGGAAGGAAGGAAGGAAGGAAGGAAGGAAGGAAGGAAGGAAGGAAGGAAGGAAGGAAGGAAGGAAGGAAGGAAGGAAGAGTCAGTGCAAAGGTGTTCATGTGTTTGTGGTATAACAAGGACTAATTGTAACAACTACTATAAGTAGATGCTTATAAGCAGATGCTTATAAAATGCTTGCTGTTTAGACTATGATTACTTGAGGCAAAACCAGGATAAGACCTAGAGCTATGTCACCTCAGTATCCCCTCTGTTTGCTGCCATGCTAATCTTTTTCCTCACCAACAGGAGGCATATACTGGTTTGTGATTGATCACACATCCATAGTCCAGCTCATGCACAGGCTTCCATGAGTTTTCTTTTTTCTTTTCTTTTTTTTTTTTGGTCAGTTGTAGGCCTTAACTTGGGGCCTGGGTACTGTCCCTGAGGTCTCTGGCTCAGGGCTTGTGTTCTACCACTTTGAGCCACAACACTGCTTCTGGTTTTCTGGTGGTTAGTTGGAGATAAGAGTCTCACAGCATTTCCTGTCTGGGCTAGCTTTGAACGATGATCCTCAGATCTCAGGCTCCTGAGTAGCTAGGATTAGAGGTATAAGCCACCAGGGCCCGGCTTCCCATACATTTTCAATGATGTGGCTTCTATAATGACTCTTGCCTGCAAAATTGCCAGGCTCTGACATTTCTCTTCCCAGTAATCATTGCGGTCGATACTGTTATTCTCACTGGTTGGCTAGGGATCCTTTTCCTCCCTGAGCATGTATATGTGTTATCCCAAAGCACGTGTGTGTATTCAGGCTGAAAGATCAGTCTCTCAAGAGGAGAAAATCCTGAAGGATACACGAAACACTATAGAAAAAGTCTAATCATGACACCTCCTAAATTTCTCCAGAACTCTGTATAGTGTCCAAGGCATTTTGTTTTTGCATTTTGTTTGTAGATAAAATCTCACTTTTTTTTAAAGTCTTCAACTTGCAATTTTTGTACCTATCCCTTCCAAGTGCTGGGATTACAGACATGTACCATCACACCTCTATTTTCTTCAATATATATTGCACCATGACACAAGATTTTAGAAGAACAAAATGACATTGAAGGGGAAATAAGTTTTCCTCATCCTTTTCTCCAGCATTAGACAGATAATATAACCAGGTCTTTTGGCATCCTTTCAGAAATAGTGAGTGCCTAAGGGCATAGGAACACATTAGTTGTGTTTGGTATCTCTCTGTTTCTTACACTCATCCATATAGAACTCTATAACAGCTCTTTTATATCATTCTCACCCTGTGAGGTGGGCAGTTGATATTCCCATGTTCCAGATGAGAGTGGGGCCAAGGTCTAGAGAAGGGAGGTAACTTACATAAAGTCTCCCAGATAGTAAGTGAATCATCACAACTTACTTTCTTTTTTAAATTTTTGGTGCCAGTTCTGGGCTTGACCTCAGGGCCTGTGTGATGTCCCTGAGTTTTTGTGCTGAAGACTAACACTCTACAACTTGACCCACAGCACCACTTATGGCTTTATCAGGTGGTTAATTGGAAATATGAGTCTCACAGACTTTCTTGCCTGGGCTGACTTCAAACCACAGTCCTTAGATCTCAGCCTTCTTGAGTAACTAGGATTACAGGTGTGAGCCACCAGTGCCCAGAATTCCAACATTCATTTATTTATTTATTTATTTAATAGTCAATTTGATTAAACTCCCTGGACTTTCCTGTCCAGGCTGGCTTTGAACTGCAATCCTCAGATCTCAGCCTTCTGAGTAGCCAGTATTACAGGCATGGGCCACTGGTGCCAGGCCATCAAGAACTACCTGTTATCTGCATTCTTCCCTCAGCAATGAAGAGAGCCAAGTTCTGTATCTTGCATATGGCAGGAGATGTCTAAATACTTGCTAGTACTTAGAGTAGGTAGGGAAAGCTCTCTTTCCTTGAACTGTATTTTTATTATTTACATGCAGATTATATTAAATACAGTGCAGCAGGTATTGGGGTGGGTCACACTGGGGAGACAACACCTGGTCATAACTGTCACCTGGATGTCTTCCCTACCCCTCCACAGATTTACTTAGGTCCACCTGAGGAAAGCACGGCCCCTCCAGTGCCTCCACCTCGTGTGACAGCAAGAAGGCACAAACCAATCACTATTTCCAAGCGCTTGCTTCGAGAAAGGACGGTTTTCTATACGTCCTCCCTGGATGAAAGTGAAGGTCAGTACTGAGATTTCCCTATGGCTTCTGAATGATGGATGAGTAGACACTAAGAGAATACTGCATGTCAGGACTGGACATGTGGCCCTTTTTCTTTACATAGAGCTAGAACTTTTCTATGGGTGAATGCAGTCATAATAGTCAATGTATATATGTGAAAAATGGAACCAGGTAACTTGAGGGGATGGAGTTGGGAGAGATAGGGGAGAATGATGGAAGAGGTAACATTGACCAAATTCATTGTACTTATAATCTGACACATAGAATTGAAACACCTTTGTACAACTACTTAAAGATAGTTAAAAAAATTTAAGTCAGCCAAGAGAAACAAGTTTCATGCATTTTGCCTAAGGAGGAAATTCAGGTTTTGATAATGGAGAGGACAGGAATAATTTGTAAAGGGAGCTTCCATGATCCTTTACAAGGCCAGTGGAAGACCCAAGCTGTTCTTAGATCCAATCCTTTAATACATTGATTGAAATGTGTGCCTAAGGTGCTTTCTCAGTGTTCTGAGATTTATTATTTTTTGTTTGTGCTGGTCCTGGGGTTTGAACTCAGGGCTTGGGCACTGTTTTTCAGCTTCTTTTTGCTGAAGCCTAGTGCTCTACCACTTGAGCCACAGCTGTACCTCTGATTTTTTGGTGGTTAATTGAAGATAAGAGTCTCACAGACTTTCCTGCCTGGGCTGTCTTTGAACCATGATCCTCAGATCTCAGCTTCCTTAGTAGCTAGTAGATGTGAGCCACTGGCACCCAGCTGCTCAGAAATTTTTAAATTCAAATACAGAGAACACTGTTTGAATAACTACTATATGCTTTGTAGTGTGCTATGTGTAAGGGGAAAGAATGATATAGTCCTTGACTTCAAGGAGCTTGGAGGATCAAGGAAGATACAGATAGCCACTGCTATTATACTCAACTGCTTTTTATTTGTGCTAATACTGAGGCTTGAACTCAGGACCTCACACTCTTGCTTGCCTGTTTTTGCTCAAGTTGGCACTCTACTACTTGAGCCATTTCTATGCTTCTGGATTTTGCTGGTTAATTGAAGATAAGTCTCATGGACTTTCCTGCTCAGGCTGGCTTTGCATTTTGATCCTCAGTTTTCAACCTTCTTAGTAGCTAAGATTATAGGTGTGAGCAACTAGTGCACAACTGCTGTTAGTTTTTTTTTGAGTATATACTACAGCTATCTATAAAATCTGTAAACATATGATCATTCTGTATTTAAACTTTTGGAGAATGGTTGGGGTATTTTCCAAAGCAGTGTTACATTTTACACAACAATGAATGAGAGTTCTAATTTCTTTAAATGGTTTAAATAGTTGCTATAGCCTGACATTTTCATTTGAACCATCCTAAGGGGTTGGGAATCAAGAATCTAATTTAATCATCTGCATTCCTATGTGAGGTAGGTATGTGGAATTCCATTTTATAGTAAAGTCATTGAAGGCTCAGGGAGGGAGAATAGATTGCCTAATTACTAGTGGTACTAAATGACAAAAACTAATTTGTACCCATCTATCTTGTCCCAGAGCTCATTTGCCCAGTAGAACATTATGCTTCCTATAATATGCCTCAACAGCATTCTAAGAAGCATGCAATCCTTCTATTTACTCCTGTTCTTCACAAGTAGTAGTTCATTATCTTATCCCCAAATGCATTATTGTCTTTGTAAACATCATTTCAGTGGATATTTCCACTAGCATCATGGATTCCTTTACATCCTAGGTTTAAGCCCTGACCATTCTTTCATCTCAAATATTCTGGCCAAGCTAAATTTGTTTATTTAAAAAAAATATGTTCTTAAATAAATCATGATATTTTACACATAAAGTTCTCATGTATCTCTGGAAGACAAGAACATTTTTATAAGATCTAAATTTTATTCATCATACTTAAAAAGAAAAATTAAAAAACCAATAATTTCTTAAGATCAATGAGGTACTCAAGTGTCTAAATTCTCCTATTATCTCATTAAACTTCTAGAGCCCAACCATGCCTGTAATCCTAGCTATTCACAAATCTGAGATTTAAGCAATATGGTTTGAAGCCAACTCAGACAAGAAACTCCATGAGACTCTGATATCCAATTAAGCAGCAACAAGTCAAAAGTAGAGATATGGTTCAAGTGGTACAGTGCTAACCTTGAATGAAAATGCTAAGGAATAGGTGAGGTCCTGAGTTCAAGCCTCAGTAGTACTGGCATACACACACATATACACACACACCAGGATCAAGATAAAAGCCATGTATTACAATTGGCTGCTACATCTGCCAGGTTTCATTTTGTTGAACAGAATCTATGTTCATAGTTATTGAGCTTTGTTCTAAATTTTCTTTTTTTTTCTTTTTAAAAAATTATCTTCAAGTAGTCATACATAAGATTTTCCATTTGCTAAAGCAGTTTATGAATATAGCGCATCTTGATCAATGTTGCCCCTTTCAGCATTGTCACACCCCCATCCTTCTCCCTCACTCTACCTCACTTCTACCTCACTCTACTGTAGATGTTAACAATTGGATAAATTCACTGATAGTCTTGTGGTATACTGTTAATCACTTAAAAACCCATTTTGAAAAATTTGAATGTATTTGTAGTGTGTGTGTATAACTCCTGGGGCTTAAACTCAGGGCCTGAGTGCTGTCCCTTAGTTTTTTTTGCTGAAGGCTGGTGCTTTACCATTTGAGCCACAATGTCACTTCTACTTTTTTTGGGGGGTAGGGTCCGGTAGTGGGGCCTGAACTCTGGGCCTGGGCGCTGTCCCTCAGCTCTTCAGCTCAAGGCTAGCACTCTACCACTTGAGCCACAGTGCCACTTCCGGCTTTTTTCTTTTTTGCTTATGTGATGCTGAGGAATCGAACCCAGGGCCTCATGCATGCAAGGCAAGCGTTCTACCACTGAGCCACCTTCCCAGCCCACTTCTACTTTTTTGATGGGTAATTGGAGATAATAAAATCATGAATTTGTCTACCCCAGCTACCTTTGGATCTCCATTCTCAGATTTCAGCATCCTGTGTAGCTAGTTTACAGAAGAGAACCACTCGCACCCAGCTTTCTCTTTAAGTAAGATGTGGAAGCAATAAAAAGCAGGGACTAATATCAGAGAAAATTGTAGACCACAAAAGCCAAAGGAAGAACATAAGCAGATGACTATTTGAGAGTTTCTTTAACAGGGTAGAGAAAGAAGTTAAATTCTGTTGTGTTTATTAACTTGGAATCTGAGGTAGATAATTAAGAATTAGCTTATGTCTTTATTTAAAAAGGATAAAACATGCAATTGATTGGAGACTTGAAGTCCCTTTTGAATTACAAATCTCTGACTAAAACAGCTTGGTTTATTTGTGTTGCACTGAATCATGGTCATGACAAATCATATTCATATTTTGAATCCCCATTTGAATAGGACCTGGGATTTCATATGAATCAGAGAGGACAGAGACTGTTTTGTGAGATGTAATCAGATGGTGCTACAGTGATAGCAATTTCTGGAAATATGTACAAATTTTTAAAATTATATATGCATGTATCAAAATAAAACTTTTTTTGTCAGTTGTGGGGCTTAACCTAGGACCTAGACACTCTCCCTGAGCTTTTTTGCTCAAGGCTAGTGCTCTACCACTTTAAGCTACAGCACCACTTCCAGGTTTTCTGGCTTCAAACCATTGTCCCCAGATACCGTACTCCTGAGTAGCTAGAATTAAAGGCATGAACAACTAGCATCTGGCTAATATAAACATTTTTAGAGGTCCTTATAGTTTGTTTCTCTTTCCATTTACTCTTTCCAGATGAAATCCAACACTCAACACCCAATGGTACAATCTCCAGCAGCCTAGAACCCCCCAAGCTGCCACAATACCACAAACCCCCTATACAGAGGAGTGGGGAAGCTGATTCTGGGAGAAAGTCCCCTAGCAGGCTTGTTTCTGATGGCAAATTGGAACACTGCCTTGACATGGATGTGGGGAAGTTGACATCCAGGCTACATGATGGAGGGACCAAGGCCACACCAAAGGCCACCAATGGACCTGTGGTAGGCTCTGGGCCTACAAAGACTCCTTCTTTTCATATCAAGAGACCAGCTCCCAGGCCCCTGGTTCAGCACAAGGAGGGTAAGTGCTTGAAAACCTGGGAAACAGAACTGATCCCAACTACTTTGTGCCTTGAGAGCCTCCTGGGATTGGAGAGACTCTGTGTGTGTGTGTGTGTGTGTGTGTGTGCGCGCGCGCTTATACACATATGTGTGCACTGTTACTAGGGCTTGAACTTACGGCTTCTTGGTCTTCCCTGGCCTTTTAGCTCAAGATTAGTGCTCTACCACTTGAACCACAGTTCCACTTCTGGTTTTTTGGTGATCAATTGGAAATAAGAGTTTCATGACAGCTTGGTGCTGCTGGTGGCTCACTCCTGTAATCCTAGCTGCCCAGGAAGCTAAGATCTAAGGATCAAGCTTCCAAGCCAGCCCAGGCAGGAAAGTCTGTAAGATTTTTATCTCCAGTTAGTTACTAGAACAAAGGGAAGTGGAGTTATGGCTCCAAGTGGTAGAATACTGGCCTTGAGCAGAAAAGCTCAGGGATAGCCCCCTCAGCTCAGAGTTCAAGTCCCATGACCAACCCCCCCTGTAAAAAGCAGTGTCATGGACTTTCTAGGGCAGGCTGGCCTTTGAACCTTGATCCTCAGATCTCAGCTCCTGAGTAGCTAGGATTACAAATGTAAGGATACATTTTGATGCTTTTATTTACTATCATTCCTGTCTCTATCATTGTTTATTCTACGTACCTGGACATTGTGGTAGATGCTGATATGATACTACTTCTTATACTCATTATCGTTCTCTGGAGAATATATTCTTGGAGTTTTTTTCTGTTAGAAATAGGATCCTAGAGATAAATGACATGTTAAAGATTCAAAGCTGGGAACTACAGAGTTACAAGCTAAATCAAACTGGCACAACTTCTGCAAAACTGTGACTTTTTGAAATTATTACAAGCTAAAGATATGGCTGACATCTATAAATTTAGTTGGCTATACCCATGGAGGCTCATGTAGAGAGAGGTTGGGGCTGAGCCAGCAGGGAGTTTGGAATATATAATTCTTTCAAGATCATATGTTCTAATGGAAAGAATATGGACTGTGGTATCAGAAAGGCTTTATTCCAAATTCTAGCTGTCTTACTTTGTAGCTAGATGACCTTCTAAATGTGTACCTTATGTGTTTATGTCTTGTGCTCTTCTAAAAAAGAGATTGCAAGCATTTCACAAAATAGCCAAATGTAAAAACTTAAAAAAATAATAAGGCTAGGCCAAGGCTGATGCTTGGTAATATACAGTATTTATCTATCATGCGTGGGGCTCCTGGGTTCCATCCCCAGCACCACATGAAAAAAATTAGTAGGGGAATTTATTTCAGAGCTCTTATTTTTGTGCTGGTACTGGGACTTGAACTCAGAGCTTTGTGCTCTTGCTTAGATTTTTGCACTTTACCACTTGTCTGTCTGGACTCTCTTTAAACTATGATCAATACTGCTATCATCTTGAGACAAAACAGAAGTTAGCAAAATATGGCCACATGGGCCACATCAAGCCATGACTTCCTTTTTGTTGTTGTTGTTGGTCTTGGGGCTTGAACTCTGGCCCTGGGTGCTGTCTCTCAGCTCTTCAGCTCAAGGCTTGCACGCTACCACATCAGCCATAGGGCCACTTCCGGTTTTCTGGTGATTTATTGGAGATAAGAGTCTCACAGATGTTTCTGCCCAGGCTGGCTTTGAACTGTGATCCTCAGATCTCAGCCTCCTGAGTAGCTAGGATTACAGGTGTGAGCCATCGGTGCCCAGCTATGACTTCTTTTCATTTTTTTGATCAGTCGTGGAGCTTTAACTCTGGGCTTGGGCGCTGTCCTTGAGCTCTTCAGCTCAAGGCAAGCAAATGAGCCACAGCACCACTTCTGGTTCTCTGGTGATTAATTAGAGATAAGAGTCTCACCGACTTTCCTGCCTGGGCTGGCTTTGAACTGTGATCCTCAGATCTCAGCCTCCTGAGTAGCTAGGATTACAGGTGTGAGTCAGCAGTGCCTGGCTAATTTCATATTTTTATATTTTGTAATTTTTTTATTGTAAAAATACTGTACAGAGGGGTTACAGTTACATGAGTAAGGTAATGAGTACTTGTCCTATCAAGCATTGTTGCCTCTTTTGTTTATCCCCTACCATCCCTTCCCTCCCCACATCCCTAACTCCTCCCCCCCCAAAGTTGTAAAGTTCGTTTTCAACATTGTATTACACATCTCATTGTTACAATGGGTCAACCTGTATCCTTATTTCAGCATTTTGTTATTTCCCTTCTCTTCCCCAAATTAGAAAAATGTATATACAAGATGTAGGACACTAACTAGTATATGTGTGAGACAAGCAGAAATGGTCAGATAAGTTGATGTTAGGTGAAATGAACCCCAAGATAAGGACTCAAATGGTTTTTCTTTATTGCTATTGTTTCTAACATATTTATATGATGGTTTCTTTGTTGTTTTGTATGTCCCTCCCCCACGGTATAACCCCTGTTTTCACTGTATTTGATGTTGGTATAATTTGTGGAGGAGAAGGGAAAAAACAAATTGTTTAAATAGGGATACAGGTGGACCAATTGCAACAATGAGATGTACAAGATGAACTTTACAACTTTGGCAAGGTGGGGGGAAGGGGGATGGGAGTGGGGGGGGGTGGAGATGGGAAGGGGAAACAAAGGAGGAGGCAACAATGCTTGATACGAAATGTACTCATTACCTTATCCATGTAATTGTAACCCTTCTGTATGGTATTTTCACAATTAAAAAAAAGATGTATGGCACTGACATCAAATACAGTGAAAACAGGTTATCCCATAGGGGAAGAACATACAAAAGAAACAAAAAAATCACATGGTACAGTATAAATACATTAGAAACAATAGCAAGAAAGAAAAAAACCACTTGTGTCCCTGTCTTGGGGTTCATTTCACTAAACATCATCTTATATGGTCATATATACATAGCTTTTGACCTTTTCTGCTTGTCCTAGACATATACTAGTTATTGCAAGTAAGAATAACCATGGGAGCTATGTTTCTTTGGTCCTGGCTTACTTTACTAAATATAATTTTTTCCAAGTCTTTTCATTTCCTAACAAATGGGGCGATGTCATTCTTTGTGACTGAGGCATAGAATTCCATTCATCTACTGAGGGACATCTGGGTTGGTTCCATATCTTAACTATGGTAAATAATGCTGCAATAAACATAGTTGTGCTGGTAGCTTTGGTATAGCCTTTTTTTGTGATTAGATAAATGCCGAAAAGTAGGATTGCTGGGTCATAGGGGAAGTCTTTTGAGGAACCTCTATACTGCTTTCCAAAGTGGTTGAACAAGTTTATATTCCCACCAACAATGCAGTAGGATTCCCTATTGGCCACATCCCCTCCAGCGTCTGTTGCTATTAGATTTCTTGATTATAGCCATTCTAATTGGGGTGAGGTGGAATCTCAATTTTGGTTTGATTTTCATTTCTTTTATGGCTAGAGAAGTTGAGCATTTCTTCATGTGTCTATTGGCCATTCTTATTTCCCCTTCAAACAAGTCTCTCTTTAAATCTTTAGCCCACTCAATTATTGGTCAGTTATTTCTTTGAGGATTTGTTGTTGGGGATTTAAGTTTTTGAGCTCTAATTACATTTTAGATATGAGACCCTTGTCTGTTGTATGGCTAGTGACGATCTTCTCCCAATCCGTGGGCTTTCTATTGATCTTGATAGCTATGTCCTTTGCCATGCAGAAGCTCTGCAGCTTCATGCAATTCCCATTTGTACAACCTTTCTTTGATTTTCCAGAACCCTTTTTTTAAAAAAAGTCTTATTCCATATATAGAATTGGATACTCTTTCCTGTTATATCTTCCCTTGAATTTTAAAAATTATATGATTAAACTTTTATTATCTTTAAGTAGTTGTACAGAGTTGCCATTTCACAGTGCAGTTTATGAATACTATGCATCTTTTTAAATGAAATTATTAACTTTATCTTTATTTATTCATTATGTATTATCTTGAAGTAAATTTTAGAAAGGGATTTCAGTATAGCATGTCAGTTTGCAAGTACAATGCACCTTGATCAGTGTCATTCCTCCCATCCTTCTGCACATCTGTTGGCTTGAAGAAACTAATTTTTGCATACTTAAATACTTGTTCAATTTTAGTTATTTTTCCTAATTTTATATACTCACTTTTTACAATTATAAACTACACACCTACAAAAAAATGATAGAATGTATTATTGCAAAATGTACACCATCCAGATTAGCCAATAATTATCATGATCCTTCACATGGTATTTCTCCTGTGAGCTTCTTCCTCCATTTTCTTCTTTCTCTCCCTTTCACTACCTCCCCTTCCCCCTTCCTACTCATCATAAGCTTTCCCAGATCCTTCGCTCCCTTTTCATATGTATCTGTACATATGTAAAAAAATTTTAAACTATATGAAATTATAATCAAAGAATATTTCTGTAAAATGTTGTTTAAAGGTTTTATGTAGTATAAACAACTTAAGTTTCCCTATATATAAAAATAACCTATATGTAAATGACAAATTTTTCTATATTCATTCTGCTAATTTAGATTGTTGACTGATTTGTACAACTTTATTGTGCTCTTTACTCTTTGTCTACTGTTTAAAGCTAGATATTTTCTTGATGGTGTTGTCTGTTTTGTTTTTGGTTTTGTGCCAGTACTGGGGCTTGAACTTAGGGTCTTTGCATTATCCCTTAGCTTTTTTTGCTCAAGGCTAACATGTTAACATCTGAGAGAAAGCTACACTTCAATCTTTTTGGTGATAAATTGGAGATAAGAGTCTCATGGAGTTTTCTTCCTGTGGTAGATTTGAGCTGTGATCCTCAGGAATTAGCTGGAGAATAGCAAGTATGACAGGTGTGAGGCATCAGTACCCAGCTTCTAGCTAAATTCTGAAGTAGGTTAGGTTAATTCTTATATACGTTATTATTTTGCAGTCATTGTGAATGAGTTTTTTTCATTAATTTCCCTTTCTGCTTGTACATTATTGGGTTAAGTTTGTATCTTGCTACTTTGCTGAAG